GATCGAACCCTTACTAGAAAGCTTACATTAAGTTGTTGGATCACTAAGTCAACAGAATTTCTTCACTTGTACATGAAACCTTCAACTTTTAAAAATATATAAAATTAATTAGTATCCATGATTAAAAAAATGGAATGTATTTGGAAAGGAGTGAGTAGTAATTTACTTAAATTACTTTTAGTACGAGTTTATATAACTTGTTTTAACTTATTTTATTAGTAGACAAAAAAGTTATTGAATTTTGAGATAAAAATAAAAGAAAGTATTATTTAACTTATATTTTTAGAATATGATTAATTGATATATTTTTTTTATAAATGTATATTAAAAATATAAAAAATAATATTAATTTTAATAATATTATTAAATAAATTTAATTAAATAATTAATAAATTAAATATTAATTTTTTAATATAAATTTTATATAAAATAGATAATTGTTATGCTCTTCACCTTTGCTATCATGGCGCATTTAAAAAATCCTCGAAGAAAAACATACAACATGTTTACCTGGTAATAAAAGAAAAGGGAGAGTAGTGCTGGAGGATGGGAAAGCCGGGAAGGGCACGTGGGAAAGAATCAAACCTCTCATTTGTCAGAGTTTAAAAAATGGCCTTCACTTTTCTGATTGAATGTTCTTTTTTATTATTATTATTATTATTTTTTAAAGTTAACTAAATTAAAATGATAAATACAAATATGGTTATTAATAAAAATATTAAAAATATTAAAATTATAAAATATTATTTTAAAAATATAAATTTAATTTAATTTAATTAATAAAAAATTAATCAACAAATTACAATTTTTAAATATTATTTAAAAAAATTAAAATTTTAATAATTTTAACATTTTTTTTGAAGTAATAAGATCCACGCTAATATAACAAATGATATAATTCCATTCTCACATAATATTGTCAAATAATAATCATGACATAAAATTACATTTTTCATTTAAAGATGGTTTAATGTCATTAAAAATCTCTGAACTTTATAAAAAGAGTCATTATCATCCCTCTCTAGAAAAGAAATTCATAATAATCCTTGAACTTTGGTGAAGAGGCCAATCGTGGTCCCTCCCTTAACACGCGTTAATGAAAGTGCTGATATGGCACTAACGGTGTTAGCCAAATGCTAACATGGCACTAACATCCTTACACAGGACTAGAAATACATTTTTGACCTTTATACATAATAATGATTAAAGGGTAAAATTGTAAATGAAATTTTAGAAATTACTTGAATTTATTAATAATAAATTTTAATCTATTAAACTACTAATTAATAAATGTTATAATGTTAATTTACTCCTAATAAATTAATTAAGATTAATAAATTAAATTAAAAAGAAATGGTCGAACTAGAAGACGAAGCCTCCGGTGAGACTTCCAAGCCAAAAAAAAAAAAAAAACTACAACCATTGTTGTTCTTTGGATTGAAATTCAAAGTGCAAGTAATGATATAACAAACCCAATCCTACAGAAATTCTTCAAAAAATATATATATATATATATATATATATCAAAAACTCATAACTAGTGCCGCAATTTATCAAAATTTTCCATCCAGGGCTTTGCCTCCTCCCTCTGATTCACATGCCCAGGTCTCAATCCATCATTGCACAAACATTCTCCATTGAAATAAACCAAAAATACTCAAAACCTCATGATGCAAATGAAAATATGGAGACTAAAGTGAATCAGATTGAACAAATCATACATGGAATCAACCAAATTTAAAATTAGACAAACAATCCACTTTACACCTTTGAAGACAAACTAGAAATAAAATTATTTTTAATTTGTAATTTTGTATAGTTTAAACTATAAAATAAAGGAAGAAAATAATTGAGAAGTAATTTTTATTGTACAACAACGTTTTCATATGATTTTACTTTTTGTTTAATTTATAATATTTTTGAATTGAGGGTAATAGAGAAAAGGAGAGGAGAGGAGAAAAAAATTTTCTATTTAATTATTAAAAAATTAAAATAGAGGGGAGACAAAAAAATTTTATT